CTTTCAGCTTGAGTGACTGTAACCTCTCATGGAGAAGCTGCATATCTCTGGTGCCAGCTTTAACTTCCGAGAACACTTTTCTCAGAGATCTGGACCTGAGCAACAATAACCTGCGAGATGAAGGAGTAACGGTGCTCTCACAGGGACTCAGAAATCCAAACTGTAGACTGGAAGTTCTCAGGTATGTAGGAATGGGATAAATATCAAGAACCCATAATTCATTAGCAGTGACAGTCCTAGCCTGTTTGGTGTCCTGGGCAAACAACCCTTGAAGCCCTTGTAATTATTATTTTTTTGTTATGTCAGATCAAATCAGTCCTGACCAAGTCAAGTCATCTTCTTTTGACTGTTCCCTGTTCAGGTTTCTCCACAGCGAGTCATTCTCCTCCATCTCTGTCCTCTGAATCCTCCCTTCTCACTCCAACTATCCCATGTTCTATTGTCTCTAACTGCATCCATATATCTCCTCTTTGACCTTTTTGCCTTTTTTTCTGGAATTTGCTTTTCAATCAATCGATCAATCAATCAATCCATCAATCAACTTTATTTATACCCTTAGGTAGATTTGGTTACAGTGAGGTGAGTCAGCTTTCTTGCCAGCCAGGAAACTTGACACACAATAAGTCCCATGCTATGCTATACTAAGTTGAATTTTGGAAGCTTATGGCAACAGGAACAAAACTGGTTTTATACCACTTAGTTTTACAACTGGGAATCAAATATCTGCATTTCGATGGGAGGAGCCTGAACTTGCAGTGCAGAGGATGAGACATATCGCTTAAGATGGATGTGGATAACCTCTGCACCTGCCTGAAGTACAAGGATTCTGGGATCAGCTGCATCTCACCTGCCAATTTACTGGACCATTTGACTATTTGGTTCAGGCAGTTCTTGTTTTTAAGAGTTAAAATATCAAACCAGGACACCAAGCAGTAAGAAAACCGATTTAATAAAAGCTCCATAAAATAAAGGCAACACGGTTTTATGAATGTGGAAGGGAGAAAGTTTCCTGAGGACAAACAGGTGCTGGTTCCCTTTCTTATAGACGACCTCACAGTTTGCCTCAAAGGTCAGTTTACTGTCAATAACTGTCCCCAGATATTTGTAGGTGTCAACAACTTCTATATATGAGTTTTTATAACTGCTTATTGTTGTTGCTGTTGTCCATTGTTGTCATCTTTCTTTGTTGAAATCAGGTCTCTCTTGTAAATGAGTCCTCGAGGCTCAATGGGATTTACCTGTATAAATAAAGGTTGATTGATTCCACAGTCTGCCCCTTTAGAAGAGCAGTTTCCTGTGCCTTAATGTGTTTTCTAAAATCAATAATCTTGTCTTTAGTTTTTGAAATATTCTTCTTCATATAGGATTTATCACACCACTGAGTGAAGTCCTCCAGCACAGGGCTGTGGCCTGTTTCTTCCTCATTAAGCAGGCTAACAATGACAGAGTCATCTGCATACTTTAAAATGACTATCTTCCCTGCTGCTACGGCACATGTTTGTGTAGAAAATATAAAGGAGAGGTGACAGAACACATCCCTGTGGAGAGCCAGTGGAGGAGCAAACCTGCTCAGACAAAAAGCTGTTCACACTCACTCTCTGTGTCCTGTTCCTTAGAAAGTCTAAAATCCACAAGATTAGAGTCTGCTTTTGGGTGAATATATACAACAGTAAAGAAGGCCTGCGGGAATTCACTGGGCAGATAAAAGTGTTGTAATGACACTGATAAAAGTTCCATATCAGGCGTGCAGATGCGCTCTGTCAGAGTCACAAAAATACAGTATTTCTTGTAGGGGTTGAACGAGTATATAATTTTTAAACTCGACATTCACATAATAAAACCCGAGTAGACCTCGAGTATTTGATGACGTCATAGATCTCAAGATACAAAAATAAATAAATAAATAAAACCGTAAAAAAAGGTAATTATTTACAAAAAAAAAAAAAGACTAACAAAACATTGGGAGCATATATTATGCTCCTATACCATTTATCATACTGCTAATAAGTCACAGGAAAAACTAAACTATTAGTTATTATTATTAAACTGCAAACGTGAAGAAACATGCAGCACGTCAAAAACAAAACTTAAACCGAAACTGGTTCTGGTTCGGTGGATTGGACCCGGTGTTACACCATACTCTGTGACCTGCAACAGTGCAACACCGCCCCCTACGGTCATACGGTGGTCACATAATATGACATCACTACGGATACCCGACGTTACATTTTTAACCTCAATAGATATCCTAGCAATCGATGTGTAGATTACTTGAGCACTCTGTTAATGCCCTAATTTCTGGTTGATGTAAAGACATACCCCTACTCCTTATGTTTTCCCCGTTACCTCCATGTCTCGGTCCAGCCGATATGGTGCCCCGAAGCCACTGACTGACAGGCCTTCATTGTCGTCATGCTCTGTGAGCCAGGTTTCAGTGAACGCCATCACACAGCGATTCTAACATTTCTAACATCTTTCTGACATGATCTGCAGTTAAATGTTGAACCCACATGTAGGCAGACCATGGGAGACTCAAAGGTAAAAAATAAATAATTTATATTTATTTAAACAAAGCAAAACATAAGCTGACAGGGCAGAAAAACTTAATTGGAGGGAAGAATGATGGGAGGAACAGAACATGCCAGGCTTGGGAGCACAATCCATGGATAATGGAGAAAAACAGAGATGCTGACTTTAAAGTGAAACTAATGAGACAGGAATGACAAACACCTGGGATGATTAGAATTAGAAACAGGTGAGACAGGAGCTGAACAACAAGGAGGAAAAACACTGGGAAGTGCAGGAAACACAAGGATTAAAGAAATGATAGAACAACAACTCAGATTCCAACACTTTCTACCAATACACCCAGTCTCCCTCCTAAGTTCATGTCCAAACCATGTCAGTCTGACCTCTCCAAGCTTACCTCTGAGTTGTTCAGCTTATAATGTACCTCTAATTATCTCCTTTTTATTCTTATACATCTTTGTCTCTCCCAAGGAGATCCTCAACATCTTCAGCCACCTCCACTTCTTTCTTGCGTCTTTTTGTCAATGCCATTGTCTCCAGACCATACACATAACTGGTCCCACCACTATCTAGTAAATCTTTCCTTTGACCTTTGCTGACACCCTTTTGTCACAAACCACTCATTATACTTTTCAACATCCACTCAATCCTGTCTAGACTCTCCTTTTCACCTCTTTACTACATTCCCTGTTTTCCAGGACAGCTGACCCCAAGAACTGGTACTTGAAGTTCTGCCCATTTGTCAACTCTTCTCCTTGTAGCCTCACTGTTCCATTTCCCTCCATCTCATTTGCACACATGTACTCTATCTTGCTACAGCAGATGATCATTCCTGTTCTTTCACAAGCATACCGCCAGCTTTCCAAGTTCTCTTCCATCTGTTCCCTGTTCTCACCACTGATCACAATATCATCTGCAAACATCATAGTCCACCAGGATTCCTTCCTGACCTCATCAGTTAGTCGGTCCATCACCAGAGCAAACAAGAATGGGCTCAGAACCAATCCTTGATGCAATCCCACCTCCACCTTCAAGCTGTCACTCCTACAGCACATCTCACCACTGTCCTGCTTTTCTCACACATGTCCTGTACCAGTCTAACATACTTCTCTGTCACTCCAGATTTCCTCATACAATACTACACCTTCTCCCTCGGTGCCCTGTCATATGCTTTTTTTTAAATCCACAAAGACACAATGGAGTTCTTTCTGACTCTCTCTGTACTTCTCCATCAACATCCTCAAAGCAAAGATCAGAATCAGAATCAGAATAAACTTTATTGGAATTGCACCGAGGTACAACGCGAATATGTACGTACAGTCGTCCGAAAGATGGGCGGAGTGCACGAAGCTGCAACTACAGGAGAGCGCGGCCATTTTATCCTTATCAGGTAACAATCTTAGATAGTAAAAGGGGGAGAAACATGAGGGTAGATAGTGGTATTACAAAAAAAGATCTTTCACATCTTGTCTATCAGGACACGATTTGAGACATCAAAAAAACTCTACCAGCAAGCACAATTAAAACATGAAAACATTTGCATTTGACATCAAGGTGTTGAGATTTGTCCATGAGCTTTTTTTTTTTCAGATCAGCCACAGTTTCTCAAGATGTTGTTCCAGCCAGCAGTTCTAGGGGTGCGGGGGGGGGCGATAGATGAAGCTTTTGTCCTTGGGTACTCATGTCCCAGGAGAAATTTGATAGCCAGCCTGTCTCCGAGTCCATTGGGAGTCAGATTAGATAAGCTTGACTTTGTTTTTCTTCAGGCAGACAGATTTTTTTTCTTCAGCCTTGAGTCCATCTGGGCATTCTGGTTCCGAAAAAGCCTAATTGTGGAATTAAGTTTCACTGATCCATGCTATGAGTCTCCTTCAAGGTCGAACCAACCACGCTGACGAGTCCCAGAAGCCGCAGGTGGTCTGCAATTCTCAATCGCTTCCACCTTACGGTTAAGCTCGTAGACCAGACGATTTAAAGTTCCCACAGCGAGTACCAGACCTTCACACTGACTCGGAAGCTTTTCCATGGCCAAAACTGCTCCCGATGTCTTCTTCAAAAGTCGATAAAACAGAGCCCCGCCGATGCCAAAAAGCAGAGTCCCTGCTATCATAAGTCCAAATATGTAAACGTCTTTAACATCCTCTTGAGACAGAACAGAGAGGCACATCATCTTCCACACTCCCCACAAATCCATGACATACCCCACAGCGTGAGTCTCAGCTGGACATGCCAGTTCCCCAGGACCTTGTCGTTTTGATGAAAAAATCTTATCAATAGAGTTGAACGCCCACAATACCAAATCCATAATCTTCTTAATTTATGTTCGGGAGATGAGACCCAGGTGCTTCAGACACACAGAGAGCAGAGCAGGAGGAAGGAAAAAAACAGGGGAGGAGAAAAGATGGCACCTGTTGTGCTCTTTCTCAGCATGAAACCATACTGCTGCTCACAGTCACCTCTTGTCTAAGTCTAGCTTCCACAACTCTCTCCCAGATCTTCACTGTGTGATTCATCAACTTAATTCCCCAGTAGTTGCTACATCTCTGTCACCCTTGTCCCTAAAAGTGTGCACAGCACACTTCTTCATTCTTCAAGCATTTTCTCAATCTCAAAAATGCCATTAAGTAATCAAATTAAAAACCTCACTGCCATCTCTCCAAGACATTTACAAACCTCCACTGGTATGTGACCAGGTCCAAATGTCTTCCTCTTCTTCATCCTTTTCAAAGCTTTTCAAACTTCACCCTTGCTAATCTTTCCCACTTCCTGGTCCACAATTTCTATGACTGAACTATTTTTTATCCATTCTCTTCACTCATTAGCTCCTCAGAGTATTCCTTCCATCTTCCCTTCACACTCTCCTTCCTTGTTTCTTGTTACCATTTCTATCTTTGGCAAGCCTGATGTGCAGCACATCCTTTTTGGATCCTTACAGGGATACATCAGAATGATCCACCACAGGGATCCTGTGTGATCTCTCTTTTCCCTAGTCAAGAAAAGCCCTTCATCCCTCCTCAGTGTCCAGCCTCTCCTATAAATCATCATACACCTTCTAGTTTGCCTTTACTCCCTTCCTCTTTGATTTACATGTTACAACTCCTTATATTCCTTTCAACTCTCTGCAGTTCTCTCACTGTCCCAATTTCTTCTTTGCTAACCTCTTCCTCTGGATACATTTCTGCACTTCATTATTCCACCACAAGGTTTCCTTATCATCTTTTTTCTGTCCAAAAGACACACCAAGTACCTTCTTACCTGTCTCTCTAATCACTGTTACTGAAGGTATTCCAGGAAGTTCTATCTTCCCAATCTTTAAAAACTCATCACATCATTGTTCCTTCCTCCATTCCACAATTTGGTCTTCTTTGATTTTATTGTTTTCGTATTTTTACCACAACAGTCATTCTACTTAAAACCATCTGATGCTGTCTGGCCACTCTCTCACCTGCAACAACCTTAGAGTCCCCAAACTTCCTCAAGAAACCTCTTCTACACAGAATGTAGTCTATCTGCATACCTCTGCCTCCACCGCTATAGATAACCTTGGATTCACCTCTTATGGAAATAGATTTTTATCACAATCATTTCCATCCACTTCACAAAATCCACCTACATCTGTCCTTGCTGGTTTATTTCATTGACAACAAACTTGCCCATCACTTTCACATCTTCTCTGTTTCCTTCACCAACATGTCCATTTAGCTCTGCTCTGATAACAACCCTTTCCTCCCTGGTAATACTCTCAATCACTTCATCCAGAACCTTCCAGAATTTCTCTTTCAACTTCATATTCAATGTATGGAGCAGAACAAATGACAACATTCAACATCAGACCTTCTACATCTAGCTTCATACACTTCACCCTATCTGACACTCCTTTAACCTCTACTACATTCCTTACAAACCCCTCCCTTAGCACCACCCTACTCCATTTCTCTTCCTATCCATACCATTGTAAAACAGCTTAAACCCTGGCCCTATCTTACGACCTTGCTTTACCTGCATCATGTCAACAAGCTCTTTACCTTTGTCCATCATTGTCCCCACATTTAGAGTTGATACTCTCAATCCTACACTCTTGACTTTCCTCTTCTCCATCTGTCGCTTGGCACATTTCCTTCCTCGTAGTATTTCATACTAGTATTCGTAGTATTCATCATTCTAAGATCAAAGTAATTGTACAATTCTGAAGTGCTTTAATTTAAGCAAAGGAAAAGTTTAATAATGCAGACAGTATACATTTTTGTAGAAAAGCTTTCTTACTTTCTTATCTTTCCTTAGATAGATAACTTTACTAATTGGCTTTTATGTACTGTATATGAATGTTCCTGTAAAGTGCCCTGAGACAACTTTGTTGTGATTTAGCGCTATATAAATAAAATGAATTTAATTGAACACCTACATGTCAAGTCAACAGATGTTACTATTTCGAGCTTTCACATTTTTAACAAACTCATTTTGACAATGTTTTCAGCTTGTCAGGTTGTCAGGTTAAGGAGGACGGCTGTGCTTCCCTGGCTACAGCTTTGAGCTTCAACCCATCGCATCTGAGAGAACTTGACCTGAGCTTCAATCATCCAGGAGAATCGGGACTGAAGGTCCTTTATGATGGCGTGCAGGACCCAAACTGGAAACTACAAACTCTTAAGTACAGTGAATGAAATTAAAGCAGACATAAATCATCATCACAGTGTCTATTTTAAACTCTAATCTGTCTGTCTCTCCTTTGTGCACAGAGCTGATCATTGTGGAAAGAGGCGACTGAATCCATCACCACAAAGGTGTAAGTTAAACTTTTCTGCTGTTGTACTTTAATCAAACCTTCAACTCCTGGCAAAACTGGGAACACCTAAATACCAGCTGGAACATAAGCTAAATCATGAAAAATCCCTGATTAAAAATTGTTGCAGTAATTCAAGTGTTAGATCTTCATACATTATTCATTTGTATTTGACACTGTCTTCACAAAATACCTCATTTTAAATATTACTGTATCTTTAGATGAAGTGACATTGTAGTCATCAATAATTCAGTCTGGCCTGTAAAGGATGCAATTTGTAAAGTCCAACATTCAAAAATGTTGCAAACACTTTTGCAGTATTTAGCTCATTTTGCAACTGTTAAATCCTGGTTAAAGTTTTTCAGCTAACATATATTTTTTATTTGAGCTCACTTTCCTCACAGTTTACACATTTTCTTGCAAATATTTTTGCCAATATATATATTTTGTGTGTAAAGAAAAGTTAAATGGAGGAATCAGGGACAAGATGGCAGAGGGAATAGGAGCATAGTCAGCTAGCTCTCCAGAGTCGGGTAAAAATGCCCACAACAAAACTGGAACTTGATAGATAAAACTACAGCATGAGTGGGATAAGCAAGAAAAGAAGCCAGAAAAACTATAAAAAGCAAGACAGAACCGAAGAGCTGCCTTTAACGGAAGAAATCTCCGAACACGAAGCTAGCAAACACGAAAAAGTCCCAGCAGAGGAAATGGAAGAGCACGATAGCACGGAGACGCTGCAAAATGGCCTTGCAGCCATTAGAGGTGATATTAAAGCACTTAAACAAGAGCTGTGCCTGGAGCTGACTGTATTTAAAGACGAGCTGAAGAGCGAAATGAAGGAAGAAATAATGAATCTTCGACAAGAAATAGACCGTAAGCTGTCCGAGAATGGCCAGGAGCTACAGACACAGCGAGTTAACATCAGCGAGGCACAGACACGCATAGCGGAGGTGGAGGAGTGGAAGACGGATGCTAACCAGGTGCTAACGAAGATGCAGATGCAAATGCAGGAAAAACTAACTGATCTTGAAGGGAGAACAAATAGAAAAAATATTGAAGGAGAAAGGAATATGTTTCAAGACACCACTCGCTAAAATTCGAATACAGTGGGAGAACGGAACGAAGACATACGACAGTGCCAGGACAGCAGCACAGGACATGAAGGAAAGGAGCTACATCGTTGCTGAGCCAGGAGGAAACGCCGCGGCAGCGGAGGAGAGACAGCGCAGAGCCGCGGGGTGACAGCGAGTGAGGGGGAAAGAACGGGAACGAGACACGGCACACCGAGTGAGAGAAAAACTACAAAGCTTTCAATGGAAATTTTAAAATGTTCTGCTTTCAGAAGAAGTTGATACGGCGGGAAAAGAGGATTCAATTAAAACCGACTGGGAGAAGGTGAGATATTTAAGTTGGACATGTCTAGATGGAGTGGTACCCCACAGGATGGGAGTAGTACTAGATCTAGGGAGGGGCCCTCAGTAGAGATGAGGATTTCCTCTCCACCCACCAACAGGGACTCAGGGATGAAGGATACCCCATGGTTGAAAGTTCGTCAGTTTTTTAATTTACGTTAGGTTAGCAAAAGTTTATTGTGGTTTTGTTTTGAGTTGCTTGGGAGAATATTTGCAGAGACTGATAAATCATAGTTATGACTGATATCAAGATAATGTCGCTGAATGTGAATGGCTTGAATGTACTGAGTAAAAAAGAAAGGGTGATGACAAAACTGAAAAAGGAAAAAGCACAAATTATATTTTTACCCAAAACAGAACATGAAAATTTAAAAAAGTATAGCTACAGGAATCTATACTACAGTTCATATAAAGAGGGGCGGAGAAGAGGAGCTGCAATATTAATTTTGAACACAATACAGTTTGATTACAAAAATAATTAAAAGATAAAGAAGGAAGATACATAATAGTAAAAGGAAGAATAGAAAATGAATTAATAAACTTGGTAAATGTATACACACCCCCGGAGAGTAACAAAAACTTTTTCAAGAACCTATTTGATTTAATAGCAATAGAAACAGAAGACAAAGTGCAGCCCAAAGACCCCGATGATGAGAGAAATAAACGGACTTAATGTTCCCTTGCCCGGACGTGGGTCACCGGGGCCCCAATCTGGAGCCAGGCCTGGAGGTGGGGCACGCGGGCGAGCGCCTAGTGGCCGGGCTTTTACCTATGGAGCTTAGCCAGGCACAGCCCGGAGAGGAGACGTGGGTCCCCCTTCCCATGAGCTCACCACCTGTGGGAGGGGTCAAAGGGGTCAGGTGCAATGTGGGATGGGTGGTGGCCGAGGGCGGGGACCCTGGTGGTCTGATCCTCGACTGCAGAAGCTGGCTATTGGGAGGTGGAAGGTCACCTCACTGGTGGGGAAGGAGCCTGAGCTGGTATGTGAGGCTGAGAGGTTCCGGCTAGAAATAGTCGAACTCACCTCTACGCATGGCTCTGGCTCTGGAACCAGTTTCCTTGAGAGGGGCTGGACACTCATCCACTCTGGAGTTGCCCCTGGTGAGAGGCGCTGAGCAGGAGTGGACATACTTATTGCCCACCAACTTGGTGCCTGTGTGTTGGAGTTCACCCCGGTGAATGAGAGGGTGGCCTCCCTCCGCCTACTTGTGGGGGGATGGGTTCTGACTGTAGTTTGTGCTTATGCACCAAACGGCAGTTCAGATTATCCACCCTTTTTGGAGTTCTTGGAGGGGGTACTGGAAAGTGCACCTCCTGGGGACTCCCTTGTTCTGCTGGGGGACTTCAATGCTCATGTGGGCAATGACAGTGAGACCTGGAGGGGTGTGGTTGGGAGGAACGGCTCCCCTGATCTGAACCACAGTGGTGTTCTGTTGTTGGACTTCTGTGCTCATCATGGATTGTCAATAACGAACACCTTGTTCAAGTATAAGGGTGTCCATATGTGCGCTTGGCACCAGGACACCCTAGGCCGCAGTTCGATGATCGACATTGTCATTGTCTCATCTGATCTGCGGCCACATGTCTTGGACACTCGGGTGAAGAGGGGGGTGGCGCAGTCCACTGATCACTACCTGGTGGTGAGTTGGCTCTGATGGTGGGTGAGGATGCCAGTCAGACCTGGCAGACCCAAACATGTTGTGAGGGTTTGCTATGAACATCTGGCAGAGTCTCCTGTGAGACGGAATTTTAACTCCCACCTCCGGGAGAACTTTGAACATGTTCCAGGGGAGGTGGGGGACATAGAGACTGAGTGGACCATGTTTTGTGCCTCTATTGTCGAGGCGGCTTACCGTAGCTGCGACCACAAGGTTGTCTGTGCCTGTCACGGCGGCAACCCTCGAACCCGATGTCAGGATGAAGAAGGAGTCCTACCGGGCCTTTTTGGCCTGTGGGACCCCGGAAGCAGCTGATGGGTACCGGTAGTCCAAGCGACATGCGGCTCGGGTGGTCGCTGAGGCAAAAACTCAGGCATGGGAGGAGTTTGGAGAAGCCATGGAGAATGACTTCCGCACGGCTTCGAGGCGATTCTGGTCCACCATCCAGCGTCTCAGGGGGGGAAAGCGGTACGCCACCAACACTGTTTATAGTGGGAGTGGTGTGCTGCTGACCTCAACTCGGGATGTTGTGGGTCGGTGGGCGGAATACTTTGAAGACCTCCTCAATCCCACTGGCACGTCTTCCACTGAGGAAGCAGAGCCAGGGGACTCTGGGTCGGACCCTCCAATCTCTGGTGCTGAGGTCACCGAGGTGGTTAAAAAGCTCCTCGGTGGCAGGGCCTCAGGGGTGGATGAGATTCGCCCAGAGTTCCTTAAGGCTCTGGATGTTGTAGGGTTGTGTTGGCTTACGCAACTCTGCAATATTGCGTGGACATCGGGGGAAGTTCCTCTGGATTGGCAGACTGGGGTTGTGGTCCCCCTATTCAAAAAGGGGGACCATAGAGTGTCTTCCAACTACAGAGGAATCACGCTCTTTAGCCTCCCTGGTAAGGTCTATTCGGGGGTTCTGGAGAGGAGGGTCCGTCGGATAGTCGAACCTCGGATTCAGGAGGAGCAGTGCTGTTTTCGTCCTGGCCGTAGAACACTGGACCAGCTCTAGACTCTCAGAAGGGTCCTGGAGGGTGCGTGGGAGTTTGCCCAACCAGTCTACATGTGCTTTGTGGACTTGGAGAAGGCGTTCGACCGCGTCTCTCGGGGAACCCTGTGGGGTTACTCTGGGAGTATGGGGTACCGGGCCCTTTGATACGGGCTGTTAGGTCCCTGTATGACCAGTGTCAGAGCCTGGTCCACATCATCGGCAGTAAGTCGGGCTTGTTCCCGGTGAGAGTTGGACTCCGCCAAGGTTGCCCTTTGTCACCGATTCTGTTCATAACTTTTATGGACAGAATTTTTAGGTGCAGCCAAGGTGTTGAGGGGATCCGTTTTGGTGGCCTTAGGATTGCATCTCTGCTTTTTGCAGATGATGTGGTCCTATTGGCTTCATCAGATCGTGATCTACAGCTTTCGCTGGAGCGGTTCGCAGCCGAATGCGACGCGGCCGGGATGAAGATCAGTTCCTCCAAATCCGAGGCCATGATCTTGAGCTGGAAAAGGGTTGAGTGCCCTCTCCAGGTCAGGGAGGAGGTCCTACCCCAAGTGGAGGAGTTAAAGTATCTTGGGATCTTGTTCACAAATGAGGGAAAAATGAAGCGTGAGATCGATAAGCGGATAGGTGCAGCGTCTGCAGTGAAGTAGGCGCTGTACAGGTCTGTCGTGGTGAAGAGAGAGCTGAGTCAAAAGGCGAAGCTCTCAATTTAACGATCAATCTACGTTCCTACCCTCATCTATGGTCACGAGCTTTGGGTTGTGACCGAAAGAATGAGATCTCGGATACAAGCGGCCGAAATGAGTTTTCTCCGCAGCGTGTCTGGGCTCTCCCTTAGAGATAGGGTGAGAAGATCGATCATCCGGGAGGGACTCAGAGTAGAGCCGCTGCTTCTCCACGTCAAGAGGAGCCAGTTGAGGTGGCTTGGGCATCTGTTTAGGATGC